CACAGGCACAGACACAAACACGCAGCAACACGGGTGAGGGATCAAAACAAACTTTGTAGGCATCAAAAAAAATCAGATCATACAAAACTTATTCTCATTGATTTACTATTAAAAAAGAAAAATCAGAGGATCAAAAAAACTTTACAGGGATCAAAAAAACATATTCACTTCGTGGCAGGCGAAGCACTTTCGCAAGGTCAGGTACAGATTTCGTGGCACGTGCGGCACTTTTGCAAGGTAGGCGCAATGCTTTCGCAGGTCAGGTGCAGATTTCGCGGCAGGCGCAGCGCTTTCGCAAGGTGCGGTACAGATTTCGCAGCAGGCGCAGCACTTTCGTAAGGTCAGGTACGGATTCGCAGCAGGTGCGATACTTTCGCAAGGTGCGGTCCAGATTTCGTGGCAGGCTCAAAACTTTCGGAAGGTCAGGTACAGATTTCAATTTCGCAGCAGGCGCAGCACTTTCGCAAGGTACGGTGCAGAGTTTGACGCAGGCGCAGCATTAAATCAGCGGGGGGGTTGGGGGGGGCGGCAGCCCCCCCATGATGTTCGAGGAAGTGAAGATTCAACAAGGGGTGCGCTAAGCTCTGTAAGCATTCTACAAATCAGCAGGGGGGCGGCAGCCCCCCCCATGATGTTCGAAGAAGTGATCATTCAACAAAAGGTGGTGATGATCGAAGAAGTGATGATTCAGCAAAGGGTGCGGAAATCTCTGCAAACAGTCTGAAAATCAGCGGGGGGGTTGGGGGGGGCGGCAGCAGGTACAGATTTCGCAGCAGGCGCAGCACTTTAGCAAGGTCAGGTACGGATTCGCGGCAGGTGCGATACTTTCGCAAGGTGCGGTCCAGATTTCGCGGCAGGCGCAGCACTTTCGCAAGGTACGGTGCAGAGTTTGACGCAGGCGCAGCATTAAATCAGCGGGGGGGTTGGGGGGGGGCGGCAGCCCCCCCATGCTGTTCGAGGAAGTAATGATTCAACAAGGGGTGCGCTAAGCTCGGGGTGAGGAAGGTCAGGTACAGATTTCGCAGCAGGCGCAGCACATTAGCAAGGTCAGGTACAGATTCGCGGCAGGTGCAATACTTTCGCAAGGGGCGGTCCAGATTTCGCGGCAGGCGCAGCACTTTCGCAAGGTACGGTGCAGAGTTTGACGCAGGCGCAGCATTAAATCAGCGGGGGGTTGGGGGGGGGGGGGGTGGCGGCAGCCCCCCCCATGATGTTCGAGGAAGTGAAGATTCAACAAGGGGTGCGCTGAGCTCAAGCATTCTTCAAACAGACGGGGGTTTGGGGGGGGGGGGCGGCGGCCCCCCCATCATGTTTGAAGATCTGATGATTCAACAAAGGGTGGTGATGATCGAAGAAGTGATGATTCAGCAAAGGGTGCGGTTAAATCTCTGCAAAATTCTGAAAATCAGCGGGGGGGGTTGGGGGGGGGCGGCAGCCCCCCCCATGATGCTCGAAGAAGTGATGATTCAGCAAAGGGTGCGTTATTCACTGTCAACCTTCTACAAATCAGCGGGGTGGTTGGGGGGGGTCCTTTCTTCCTTCCTTCCTTCCTTCCTTCCTTCCTTCCTTCCTTCCTTCCTTCCTTCCTTCCTTCCTTTCTTCCTTCCCCCCATAGAAATGAGCATAGGTTTTTTGATGCCTAATAAGTTTTTTGATGCCTAATAAGTTGTGTTTTGATGCCTAATAAGTTTTTTTGATGCCTATCCCCAGAAACACGGAGGAACACGGAGGAACACGGAGGAACACGGAGCAACACGGAGCAAGCAACACGGAGCAACACGGAGCAATACGGAGCAACACGCAGCAACACGCAGCAACACGCAGCAACACGCAGCAACACGGAGCAACACGCAGCAACACGGAGCAACACGGAGCAACACGGAGCAACACGGAGCAACGCGGAGCAACACGCAGCAACACGCAGCAACACGCAGCAACACGCAGCAACACGCAGCAACACGCAGCAACGCGCAGCAACGCGCAGCAACGCGCAGCAACACGCAGCAACACGCAGCAACACGCAGCAACACGCAGCAACACGCAGCAACACGCAGCAACACGGAGCAACACGGAGCCACACGGAGCGACACGGAGCGACACGGAGGAACACGCAGCAACACGCAGCAACACGCACCAACGCGAACACAAACACCCAGTGAAAACCATCGGGGAATCTCACCACTTTGGAGTTTGGGGCCTCATTATATCTGCAGTGAGGTTGACACAATCGACTTCCACCAAAGGCACCAATGAAAGAACCACAGCGAGAAAGAAAAAAACGCGGCGCGACCCAACCCGCCACCCTCTCCCGCGCCTTCTTGGCGAGATTTGCGGCCTGCTGACCCTGCATGGCGTTCATCAGGTTCCCTCTGCCACTGATCGCCTCCTTGAGCATCTCCTTCGCCTCCAATCATGTTCTTAAAATATTACATGTGTTGCTTCTTTGGACCATTTGATTGCGGTAACATTGCTCTAACATATCACACTTACAATTAAAATTTAGTCTAAACTACGCATTATCGTGACGTGTCAATCATGATATGATAAGACATGTATATACAGTCAAGAAGAAATAATGAATAAACAACACTTAGATGACGCGCAACATGCTCAGCTGTCCAAAGGACCATTTCAAGGTGACTGGCTAAGGAGAATTCCTGCAATTTGTGGGAGGGGAAGGACCATGTTCATTTCCGTTTACAGGGCTTCAGGGCCAGAAGGCAAGTTGGCTGGTGGCCCGGGGTGCAGACTTAAAATGAGCCGGTAAACAAATCGTAAGGGATACATCGAAGGGGGTAACGGGTGGGAACCCGAATTCACCCAGGTCCTCTTCCCCAGAAAAAACGCTTGCCAAAGGGCCTGTGACGGAGCAAAAACTAAGTGGAGCTTCCCCCGCCCCCAAAGAAGAAGAAAATCAATCGCCATTTCTGGTTTCTGGTGGCTGGCTGCCTGTGAAGAGGGCGTTGCTTTGGTCTGGTTTGCCTTTGGCTTCAAACCAGTGCAAAATGAGGTATCAAACTAGTAGTAGTAAGGAAATCCTCCTCCAAGTACGAGAGCTTCATCATGGGTGCACTTGTTTTGCTCACGTTGAGTGATGGGCTCATTCTTTTTTTTGAGCCCCAGGTCGCCGTGTCGCAAGACACCATTTAGTTGGCTGCTTGTCACGGCAAGACTCAAAAAAAAACACCACCTGACGGACAAACCGCCAAAGTTCCTGAATCAAAGCTCTTATCCCATGACTCTACCTTCCCACAAAACTCGGGCTATGACGAAACCGAAAAAGAGCCAAGCTTGGCCTTCCTGGAAATCCCAGCCCGCCTGCGGCAGTGCCGGCTGCACCAGTTGGTCCAAGCTTGGCATCTCTTGAACTTGGTCCTGGGAGCCGCGAGGCCAAATCGGGGGGATGACGAAGACTTCGGAGGTTACCCAAAATCCCGGCATATCGAGATGACATTTTATTATGGTTCTTACTACTTGTTAGTTGTTGCTAGCACAAGAGCTGGCTCTGGAGACCATCCGGCGCAGTTGTCTCTTGGGGTTTGTCTGTCTGCGCCTCTTCCTTTTCGGGGCTTGGGGGAGGGGCTGTGGTCTCATCTTTGCCTTGCTTGCTTTTGCGTGCTTCTTTTTTGGGTTGCCCATAAAGCCCTTGCAGCTTGGGACTTTCCATTCAGGGTTTGGTGGCTTTTCCTTGGGGCTTTTTGGGAGGCAGCAGGCTTCATTCTTTCTTTCGGAGTCATCGATTCTTTCCATAGAATCGTCTGGGGAAGTGTAAACATCAGATGCAGAAACGGGGTCCCTATGCGTCCCCTTTTCGCGCCCGCCCTCACCCCAAACACAGTCATCTTAACACTTGTGCATCACTTCCGGAGGAATCAACAATCCCACTCGAAAAAATGCCTGAAGTCTATTCATGATTTGATCCGGGGTTCTGCTCAAAAAAGACAACACCACAACCTGGGCCTTTTTTGCCTCCGGCCCACGACCCCCCCCAAAAAAATCAGACACCACCACCCGGACCTTTCAACTCTTTTTGGCTTTTCCGGGCCCCCGAAAAAAAGAAGAAAAACACAATCAAACACAGCGACCACCTGGGCCTTGCATTTTTCTTGGCTTTTCCGGGCCCCAGAAAAAGAAGAAAAAAAAAGCGGGAGCGACGGCTCGAGCCGTCCTGGGCGCCCTTCAGCAAAGTGTGAGCCCTGCCCAAGAGCAGCGCGGCCTTCCGCTTGGTCTCCTCGAGCGATCGCTGATCGCTGTCGGTGCGCCGGGCGGGTTTTCTTGGGTTGGTTTTGGGGTTTGGGCGGCTTTAGGATCGAAAGTGGGCCCGGGAGTTGTGATATTTAAGTCTTCAGGGTCAGTTTTTGGAGGAAGGTTTAGGTCCAGTCGATTGAGGAGTTCACATATGGCCAGAGCTCTGGTTGCCAAGGCCGGCACTCGGCATTCTCAAGGCTTGCCATTGGCATTGGGTTTCCGGACCGGAGGAGACCCGCCCACTGCCGTCTCCCAGCTTCCCGAAGCGCCTTGGTGGAACCATCCTTAGAGGCCCATGACAATTTCACATCCACTGCGCAATGCACAATCATCAGCACACAGAACATTGAACGGTACATGGCTGCCAGTCTCCGTGTGCATGCTATCGCCAACGGAGAAACAGGAAAACCATTGGTTTGAATTTGGCATCCTTCTCTAGGGTGCTTTTTAAAAGGAAGACTCAAAGGAAAACCACGAGCCTGATCCCCCTATCTGGACACAGAATGACACAGACCCCCATGATATTTCGACCGGTGATTTGCACTCGTACCAGGGTTTCTTCAGCTCAGGATAATCGCAGACCAAGCTGGCAGCTTTTGGTGGCTCTTAGTGTTACACCCAAAGTCGACCCAGAGGGCCGAACTCATGAACCAATTAATTAGAGTGTAAGGCGTTCTTGGAGTGAACCCAAATATTGGGTGGAGAAAACTCAGGAGTTGATCAGTTTATCCCAGTGCGCATTTATCCCAACC